CCTAGAGCCAGACGCCACCGTCGACGACGACTACTACCCCGGAGGTGCCTACTACTACGTGCAGCCCGCTGACGACGACCAGGAGTAGTTTAGGAGGATCCCAGGCAGGAGGCCTGCGCCTCTTTCGATCTGTATCCTAGTTTGTGCTAGCCTTCTTAAGGCAAACTTGTTTAACTTATGTCTGTACTCAGATATTGTTGCTTCCGCTGACTCGTCTATGATCGAGCACTTGTATTCGAGCCCTCGAGGCCCCTGGCTTGTATTATGATGCTTGTATGGCTTATTTATGTTTTTAGAGTTGTGTTGTGATATCTTTCCGTGAGTCCCTGATCTTGATCGTACACGTTTGCATGCATGATTAGTGTACGATTGAATCGGGGGCGTCACAGAGGCCCTATCCACAAGTTATGACCTCGTGGCTCAACGTATAAATAGAGGGGTAGAGCTAGCCCCTAGAACACAAGTTTTGGAGACTCCTCTAGTTCATCTAGCCCTAGTTCTAGTTGGTCCTAGTTGACTAATTAGAGCTTGGTCTAGTTCCTTTAATCCTCATAATTAGAATCCCAGTGTGATTCTAATCTCCTCTCTCTAATTCTCCAGCGACGATTAGCTCTGGACAACAAAGCGCTGTCGGATCGTGAAGGCTGCATGCTTGCAACCAAGTAGAGAGGTCGTGCTTTCGGTCTTCGTTCAAGGGACTGTTCGTGGGTGATTCGAGAGATCATTCATCGACAGTTCGAGGGACTCCAAGTACGATCTACACCGACACGTTCTTCTTCCGCTGCAACTCGGTGACGGTAATGACTGTGATCCCAGCCCGTTATGCATCTTCATATTGATCTTGGGTGTTCATATGTGCGAAAACTTTTGTTCTCTACTACGTTTCCCAACAGTTTGTGCTTCACATGATGGCAATTCTCTATCCACATTTTTGGTCTCTTCATTTACATAGTGAAAATAGCATACAATTTTTTAATTCGCATTTCTTGCCATCATGGTACAGAGAAAGTCACCATGAACCTTTTCTTTTGTGCCATTGCATAAAAAAAGATCTTTTCTGACCATGACAATATTTGCTTATAGATATGATGGCAATTTTTGGTTTGAAACCATTAGGATTTTTTAGCAGTATATTTTTTTCTATCTATCACGGGAAATTTATATTTGGATCATTTCAGTTTTTTTCAGAGTATAGCAAAATATGGCCTTTATTATTCACAGCCAAAAGTGGGCCTTTTTAGTCATAGTAATTTTTGGGCAAACCAGGCTTTATTTTTTTATTCAAAGCAAAAAAGCCTTGGGGTGGTGTTCGCGCTGGGGACCTCTCGTCTCGAACGACATGGTTCGATCGATGGGGAAAATATCAGGGGCTACGGGAGCACCTAACTTTAGGTTCTCCAAGAGCTTCTCGGCCATTGGATCTAAAATCCAACGGTCATCTACATATGCACTGGACCCGATTTGCAATACCAAATTTCTGGGGGTGTTCTTTGAATAAAAGCGTGAGCTCTCTCCTCAGCCTTCGGATCTCAGATCTAACGGTTGAAAAGCTCCTGGAGCACCTAATCTTAGGTGCTCCCGTAGCACCAGATATCCTCCCTCGATCGATGTCCTTCGCTGTTGCGAACTAGTCATTCGGTCTGAGGCTCTCCCAGACCGAACGTACAGGAGATATCGGTGTCCTATTTTTTCCTAATGGTTGTACTTTTTGCAAAACCATAATAAAATTGCATTTTCAGTTTTTCTTGAGGACGAATACAATATTGGTCCTTTTCCTATAATTGATTCTCGTAAAGCTCTTAGTTGGCGTATTTTTCATGTTACTTTTCAAAATGTCAAAGTTATACAAGTTTTATTTAGGGGAGTCAAAGTTATACAAGTGTGAACATATAAGTCTTGTCTCTTGAGCTTTACAACAATTTTGCTAAACAGGGTGTCGAACGAACTCAAAATGACTTGAAATGTTAGATGTAGCCTCTCTAGAGTATAATGAGGCCACACAAAAAAACTCAACTCATTTTGAGTGCATTTTATTGTTGGTTAGAAAATAAATTCATTTAATAAATAAATGAGTTTTTGAGCTACGAGTGATAGCTAGGCTTGGGTTAAATTTGTGAAATAATTCAGGTAGCTCACAGATATCACAAAAGGACATGTGCAAGGTTCAGGGTGAGTATTGTTCTAAAACATTGAAAGGGAGAAGGGTTTGCTTATTCACCATTTAATAAAATCACAAAAAATATCAAAATTAATCATTTAATTAATGCAATATAATGCTTGTGCGATGCTTATGAGATGAACATGGTGCAATAATGATGAATAATAAAATAACAATCAATTTTTAATTTGGGGTAACCCCGCGAGCTGTTACAAAAGGTAACATATAAAAGACTGCACCATGTTCGTGAACTAATTCTAGATGTATACATGCATGTAACACCATCATACGCACACAGTCACGAAGCACATAACTAGTCATGGGCATCAACAATGATGATTCCATCACAGAATCATAAGGTCTTGTTGTCGACAAAATGCCACCTCCAGTTGAAAGAATAATCCCCTAATTAGGTACCAAATCTATCAAACATAGAATCGAAGGTTGGTTCTCAGCTTCACAGATGAACATAGTAAGGTGTGAAGTGATACAAGTACACATAGTACTCACCTTCACGGATGAACTTAGTAAGGTGTGAAGTGATACAAGTACACCATCACATTCATAGTACTTACCTTCTCAAGGAAATTGGGAGCATGTGTATCTATCAAATAAGAGGGACTGAAGACAATGCGAGATGGAAATGCGATGCAATCACGTGGCACAACCTGAACTTAGCCATCACAAACTATAGTTGGAAATCAAACAAACAATCCATTGCCTTGTACCACTATTGGTATTACTATCTTTTGACCAATTCTATGTTAGTAGTTGATTGCGAATGAGAACTGATTAATGGTTTTATAGTTAGGAGGGTGATTATACCATTACTCCATTAGAGATCCGCACCCATGTTTGATGCTTTGGTGTCTTGTTATTGTGGCCTATAGCTTCGTGACTTCAATCTTCAATCAACATACGGTGAGCACAGATGTATGGATGATGTTGTTGATGATGATTGTGTGTGGGGGGAGGGGGTAGTTATACTCGGTGTTTTTATTACATTTTTAAAGCTGGATATGAACAAGACACATTGCAAACCAATCAAAGTTGATTGAAGACACAAGGCTGGATATGTAACAGTCTGAACCAGAACTGAACAAGGTATCGTAAAAAATCGAGTTTCATGGAATTCATGTAAACAATACAAATTGCAAATCAACCAAGTAACACATGATAGTTGCAACCAGAACTATACAAGTTTGTCAAGCTTAGACTAAAGTTTGTAAAAAGGCTAAGTATGTAGGAAAAGGTACAAAGATAATTTTGTATGCACCTAAAAACACATGTGTTCATTGTTATTTTATATCTCTATCGACTTCTTGCTAGATATTAGAAGTAAGTTCACAAGGTCTTTTATACCATTGTAGCTTGGAACATTTCACTAGTAGATAAAGTTAAACATAGGCAGCAGTAATTTAAGATTAGGGCGGGAAAAAAAAGGTTAGCATTGCCAATTGTGAAAGAAGTAATACCTCTCACAGTAGTGTATCATAGCATATGCAATACTAAATTGGCCTGCTATTATGACATAGTATTAATTAAGTAAAATTATGATACTAGGTGTTATTTATAATATCATATCTTAATAAACAAGGTGCTATCATGGACCATATAAAATAATAAATAAGCTTATCTAAAATATAAACTTTTGTATCTGCGTCATTCACTCCGTCCTGATTTATTAGTCCCCCTTGTATTTTAGGTCAAATTTTGACCTTCAATTTAAATACCAAAAATTAATTTATAAACCATGAAATAGTATCATTCGGAACCTTTGAATATGAATCAAACAATATAAATTTTGTGACATACAACATATATTTTATTAGTGAATTATACGGTTGAAATTGGGCATAAAATACAAAGGGGACTAATAAACCAGGACGGTAGTAGCATGTTACACATGTTTCGGTTACTTTTTTGTTAATCTCCAACGGACTTTTCATTTTTCACCGTATGAAAAGGATAGTAAATTTAGGAGGGTGACATGTGACTATCATCGTCAGGCCTGTAACATCAAGTCTAACGTTGCAGTCGATATAGAATTTTCGGCTACAAAAGCAACATTTCCATTGCTTTTATCCGTAACGAGGAGGTACTTATCGAAGTAGAAATGCGTTACCCCGCAAAAAAGAAGTAGAAATGCGTTAGCAGTGTGTTAAAAAAATAAAAATAAAAGCATTAGCAGCAACGGGCAAACCCGGTTACCCGTAGAGCCAGCCAGCAACCCCGACCCGGTTGCACCCACACCGCCAGGACAGAAACTTGTACTACTAGCATACGAACAACGGCCACCCTTCCTTCCCCCACGTCCCTCCAGGACCCATCCGTCATTGACCTAGCATCAAATCAAACCAACAAACGTGAATTTATTATAGCAAGGAATAATAAATTACTCGTACTGTATTACTTACCGGGCGAGGCGACACGGGGGAAGGGAAAAGGAGGAGTAGAAGCATCGGGTGCATCTCCGCGTCCCGCTGCCATTCCTTCCTTCCTTCCTCTGCTCTTGGCCTTCTTCCTCCTTCCCCAAGGCGAGAATCCGCGCCGGATTGACCCGATTTCGATCCCGTTTCCAGATTTCCCCTCCACCTCCAGACACCCACCGCAATCCGCCCCCCCTCAACGTGCGCGCTCGCGCACTCCCACTCGCCCCCATCCTTATTAATTCCCCTTCCCTTCCGCACTTCTAAACCTCCTCTTCCTCCCCGGCCTCGTCCCCGTCCCCGTCCCGCACCGCCGCCGCATTGCTCGGCCGCGGCGTCGATCTAGACTCCAGAGGCGCCTGCATTTTGCGTCTTCTTGTTCGATTCGGCTTGGTGTTCGATCCGACAAGAAAATGTGGGTGGCGGAGCGGGTGCTGGGGGAGCGCCGGATGCGGGAGATCCAGCGCTTCACCCGGAACGCCAAGCTCACCGTCGTCTGCCTCATGCTCACCATCCTCGTGCTCCGCGGCACCGTCGGGGCGGGCAAGTTCGGCACGCCGCAGCAGGACCTCACCGAGCTGCGCCACCGCTTCATCTCCCACCCGCAGCGCGCGCTCTCCGAGCACCACGACGCCCGCTCCAAGGCCTCCGACGCCCAGGCCCAAGCCACCCAGGCCGCGGGGAAGGCCGCCGCCCGCGACGACGAGCCGGAGCCGCAGCCCAGGTCGCTCCGGGACCCGCCCTACACGCTCGGCCCCAAGATCTCCGACTGGGACGAGCAGCGGGCCGCCTGGAACCGCCGCCATCCGGAGACCCCGCCCTTCCTCAACGACGTCAAGCCGCGGGTCATGCTCGTCACGGGGTCCTCCCCCAAGCCCTGCGAGAACCCCGTCGGCGACCACTACCTCCTCAAGTCCATCAAGAACAAGATCGACTACTGCCGCATCCACGGCCTCGAGATCTTCTACAACATGGCGCTGCTCGACGCCGAGCTCGCCGGCTTCTGGGCCAAGCTCCCGCTCCTCCGCGCGCTCCTCCTCGCGCACCCGGAGGTCGAGTTCTTCTGGTGGATGGACTCCGACGCCATGTTCACGGACATGGCCTTCGAGCTGCCGTGGGAGCGCTACGGCCCCTACAACTTCATCCTGCACGGCTGGGACGAGATGGTCTACGACGACAAGAACTGGATTGGCCTCAACACCGGCAGCTTCTTGCTGCGCAACTGCCAATGGTCTCTCGATTACCTCGACACCTGGGCGCCCATGGGGCCCAAGGGCCCTGTTCGTATTGAGGCTGGTAAGGTGCTCACCAAGTACCTCAAGGACCGGCCGGTCTTTGAAGCCGACGATCAGTCGGCCATGGTGTATATCCTCGCTACCCAGCGTGAGAAGTGGGGTAACAAGGTGTATCTCGAGAATGGCTACTACCTCCATGGCTATTGGGGGATCTTGGTGGACAGGTACGAGGAGATGCTTGAGAATTACCAGCCAGGGCTCGGCGATCATCGGTGGCCACTGGTCACTCACTTTGTCGGGTGCAAGCCATGCTCCAAGTTTGGGGATTACCCTGTCGAGCGATGCCTCAAGCAGATGGACCGGGCCTTCAATTTCGGGGATAACCAGGTCTTGCACATGTATGGGTTTGAGCACAAGTCTCTTGCGAGCAGGAGGATCAAGAGGGTCAGGAATGAGACCAGTGACCCTCTTGATATGAAGGATGATTACGGGTTGCTCCACCCAGCGTTCAAGGCCCTCAAGACTACTACTCCCTCCGTTCCTAAATATAAGTCTTTGTAAAAATTTCACTATGAATTAGATACGGATGTATATAGATGCATTTTAAGTGTGGATTCATTCATTTTGCTTCGTATGTAGTCCATCTAGTGGAATTCCCACAAAGACTTACATTTAGGAACGGAGGGAGTACATGATAACTATAGTACACTACTTCCACGTTTATTTTGTTCGTTCGTTCTAGATTCTCCTGGATCAAAATCCTATAATTCTTCTTTTTGTAGACTCAGGGTAACAAGGAAATTTGGTTTTGGTATCAGGGGACGGATATCTATGTTGTACTGTGAAATGTTAGAGAATGAAGTTATGTTGTTGATGGCACAAAATATATGTCTTGTGCTTCTAGAAATCGAGTTAGAGAACGGTGCTCAGCTAACTGCTCATTTCTAAATAGCTCCATGGTTTTGTCAGGCCAGTCATTGCATCTCTGAAGAACTCCCCTGTTTCTGCGTGTCGGAACCAAGCTCAGCCGTCGATTCGCCATCCAGTGGCTCTCCAATGAAGATAACGGTTCGCCACTGGTTTGTCATCAGAGTCGCAGATGCTCCATCCAACGGCTATCATCGCCCTGAGTGTTGCTGTTCATCGCCCGACACGCCATGTGCTCTGTCTCCACTTTCTGTTCTGCTTTTCCCTCTGTAATGGCTATATAGCCACCCCTCGCTCTCAGTTTTGGGCATGATTATTGTAACTGGGTAGAAACCCTAGTCGCCGGTGGCGTGCTTTGCTACTTTCCCTTTTCTGAGCAATACAAACCCTAGCAAATCCCTCGAATTCTCTCTCTGAAATCGCAACGACGAGCGTGTAGCTAGTTCGATCCTTGTCAGGTTCCTGACAATTGGTATCAGAGGCCCAATCGGTTCTCGGAGGTGTTGAATCTGGCGTGTAGAGGTTGGCGCATCGGCCCTAAAATCCCTCTGCAATTCGTTGGTGGCGGCCGGAGTGGCACAATTCGGAGGCAGTCTGAAATCAGTTCTGGTTGCCGGGGAGCAATTCTCCAGTGGTAAAATCCCAGCAGCTGAAATCGGGCGGTGCTTCTTGGTGGCAGGAATCGGAGTTGGCGGCGGTAGAACATAAGCTGGTTGGCTAAATCCCTCCCTTCCCAACCCTCTCAGGATTCGGAAGGAAATCATGTCCCAGCTAGATGAGTCGTCCGACACAGGTGTTCTGCAGCTCCAGTCGTTGGAGCTTGATATCAAGACACTACAGCGCTACCGTGAGGAGGACAAGAAAGAATTCCAGGATTTCGAATCCATGGTCAACAAGAACTTCGTCACAATGCAGCAAAATTTTGACAAGATTCAGGACAACTTCAAGCGCTTGTTGCTGCTTCCTGAACCAGTAGAGATCCCTGATGAGCAGTCGGCACAGGGGAGTGCACAGCCCAAACAACAACAACTTCATTCTCCAATCATTGCGCCGGGCAGGCCCAAACAGCTGCTTGCAAACACACCACCTTCAGTAGCTATGGTGGAAAAGGAGGCCCCTCCCATCATAGGGACTGCAACGTTGAGAGATAATGCAGGAAAAGAACTCAACTTGGATGGTACACCGAAAGTGCCTTATCGCCATCCCAATTTTGCAAGCACCAGAGCTTTGGCACCCCAACAACCACAACAAGTTCCACATCCACAGCAACAACCAGTTCAAATGGAAGAGCATGCACAGGAGGAAGGGCCAGATGGAGTAGATAGAGGTAGAAGACCTCACTCCCCATTTGAAGATAGAAGGAATGTGCTCACAGTGAAGCCGGCCGAACTGAACATTTCTGAATTCAGTGGCACTGATCCAGAATCATGGATTCAGAACTTGAAGCAATACTTTGCAGCTGCTAGAACCCCCTTAGAGCACAGAACTGAGTTAGCAGTTTCTTATTTGCAAGGCCCTGCTATACAGTGGTGGAGAGGAACTGGATTTTCACCCCATAATGTGCCATGGCATAGATTCTGCTCTTATATTGCAGATAGGTTTTCTATAGACTCTGCTTGTGACATTGTGAACTCTTTCCACTCTGTCTCTCAAACATCAACTGTGGCTGTGTATGTAGAGCAGTTTGAACAGCTGGTGAACTGCATGAGAAGAGAAACCCTGCTATACCCAATGACTATTATGTAACCAGTTTCCTGTCTGGACTGCAGCCTTACATCAGAAGTCATGTGGAGTGTTTTAAACCACCAGATATGCAAACAGCAGTATGGTATGCCAGGAGAATGGAAAAAGCTAGTGTCCCTGCCCAACCTAAAACTTATGTTCCCCAGCCTAAAAGGCAAGTGGTGTTTGACCAAGCAAAGCCACCCCTAGCTGCTCCAACACAAAACAGAAACACAGTCATCCAGCAGGCAAAACAGAACCAAGTCTTCTACAAATGCAGAGAACCTTGGGTGCCTGGCCATCGACAAGTATGTCGAATGAGCCAAAAAGCACAAATACAGGCATTACAAGTACAAGAAGAAGAAAATGCAGAAATCATTTATGTTACAGATTTTGAAGATCCTGAGTTGGACCAAGCTGCACCTCCTCCTGATAATGCTGTACTACAGGTCTCTATGCATGCTGCCATGGGCATTGATGCAGTTAAGAACACATTTATATTAACTGTTAAGGTGGGCAAAACAATAGCTACTGCTTTGGTGGATAGTGGTAGCACTTCCACATTTGTGTCTCCTGACATAGCTGCAAAACTACCTATTGCACCTGTTCCCAACCAGAAGATAAAGGTGCTAGTAGCTAGTGGTGGAGTCCTATGGAGGGAGTTCACTTCTCACAATTGCCCCTATGAAATACAAGGCATACAGCTACAGGACACATTCAGAGTTTTAAAGCTGAAGGGATATGATATCATATTGGGAGTAGATTGGTTGAGAAAATATAGCCCTGTGCAAATGGACTTCATTAAAATGGAGATGAGAATTAATGCAACACCAACCACTCGGGCCACTTTTGTGGATGAGACTGTTCCCTCCTCTTCCCCTGTGGAGATCACAGATGATGCAGAAAAACTAATGGATCAAGCTGTCTGTGGATTTTTCCTCCTGTCCACCTGTCACACTGTGACACAGGCTGCTGACCACCCTATCCCAATGGAGCTCCAAGAACTCATTCAGCAGTATGACAAATTATTCAGTGCACCTACTGAATTGCCTCCAAGCAGAGCTTGTGACCACAGAATTCCACTAGTGGAAGGAGCTAAGGTTGTAAATCAAAGACCATGCAGAGTACCCCATCACCAGAAGGAAGCTCTAGAGAAAATCATTGCTGAGCTCCTCAAGGCTGATCTCATTAGGCCTAGTACTAGCCCTTTCTCTTCTCCTGTCCTCCTGGTCAAAAAGAAGGATGGAACTTGGAGACTCTGTATTGATTACAGAAAACTGAATGCAATCACCATCAAAAACAAATATCCCATTCCAATAATAGAAGATCTTCTAGACCAATTAAAAGGAGCAACAGTTTTCTCCAAGATAGACCTCAGAAGTGGATATCATCAGATAAGAATGGCTGAAGAAGACATCCACAAGACAACATTCTCTACACTGCAAGGGCACTTTGAGTTTCTAGTGATGTCTTTTGGATTAACAAATGGACCTCCCTCATTTCAGGCTCTTATGAACTTTTTGTTTGGCTCTTTTGAATTTGTGGTAGTGTTCTTTGATGACATTCTAGTGTTCAGCACAACCATGGCAGAACATAAACTACACCTGAAGAAAGTATTTCAAGTGCTGCAAGAGAATCATTTATATGCCAAACTGAACAAATGTTCTTTTGGACAGTCTGAGATAGAATATTTGGGCCATGTTATCAACAAGGAAGGTGTGGCAACAGATCCTTCTAAAATTGCTGCTATCAAGGAGTGGCCAACTCCTAAAACTGTCACTGAACTCAGAAGCTTTTTGGGTCTGAGTGGTTACTACAGGCGATTTATTCAGGGATATGGCATCATTTGCAGGCCCCCTTTTGACTGTCTGAAGAGAGACTCCTTTTCTTGGCAGCAAGAGCAACAAGCAGCACTTTCAACTATCAAGGAAAAACTAACTCAAGCTCCTGTTCTGGCCCTGCCAGATTTCTCCAAACCATTTATCCTAGAAGCTGATGCAAGTGGATATGGTCTTGGAGCTGTCTTAATGCAGGAGGGAAGACCCCTGTCTTATTTCAGTAAGTCAATAGGACCCAAGGCAGCAGCATGGTCCACCTATGACAAAGAAGCACTAGCAATTATTGAGGCTGTGAAAAAGTGGAAACACTATTTCCTAGCTACTTCTTTGATTATCAGAACTGACCAGGAAAGTTTGAAGTACATCCAAGAGAAAAAGCTAACTAAGGGAATACAACATAAGCTCTTGCTAAAGTTGTTGGGTTACAATTTTACAGTGGAGTACAAAAAGGGCAAAGAAAATAGAGTTGCTGATGCCTTGTCAAGAGTGAAACACATGATTTCCCTCCTTTCCACTAGTGTTACCACCCCAAAATGGATATCTGAAGTCCTCAAAAGCTATGTTACAGATCAGAAGGTTAAGGACCTCATAGCTGAGTGTGCCACCAACAAGGACAACTCCACTGGATACACCTTCAAGAATGGGATCTTGAGGTACAAGAACAAAATTGTCATTGGAACTGCAACTTCTCTGAGACAGGACATTTTGAAAACATTCCATGACTCTGAATTAGGGGGACACTCAGGAGAAAGAGCAACATATCATAGAGTACACTTAGTATTCCACTGGCAAGGACTTAAACAGGATGTTATTAGCTTCATCAAACAGTGTCCTGTCTGCCAGCTAAACAAAGCTGAGCACACTCCTTACCCTGGCCTTCTTGAATCCCTGCCAGTCCCTGATTTTGCTTGGGCCCACATTAGCATGGATTTTGTGGAAGGACCGCCCACTTCTGAAAACAAGGACCTTATTCTGGTTGTAGTTGACAGGTTCACAAAATACTCCCACTTCATTGCTATGAAACATCCAATAACTGTCCAAACTGTAGCCAGAGCATTTTCTGATACAGTGTTCAAACTACATGGAATGCCATTGGTCATAGTAACTGACAGGGACAGGATCTTCACCAGCAAATTATGGCAGCAACTGTTTAAATCCCTCAACATCAAACTGCACATGAGCACCAGCTACCATCCACAAACTGATGGCCAAACAGAGAGGGTAAACCAATGTTTGGAGAACTACTTGAGGTGTATGTGTTTCCAACAGCCAAGAAAGTGGCATGGCTGGCTAGCTCTAGCCGAATGGTGGTACAATACCAGCTTCCATACTTCTCTGCAAATGACCCCCTTTCAAGCCTTATATGGATTTCCTCCCCCCATGGTAGCTGAGTCTGCATTACCTGACTCCATTTCTGAGGACAGCGACAATTTACTGCAAAATAGAGAACTGGCACTAGAGGTGATAAAGCAAAATCTGTCCAAGGCACAGGAAAGAATGAAGCATTATGCTGACAGAAACAGACAGGAAAGATCCTTTGAGGCAGGAGATATGGTTTACTTGAAACTGCAGCCATATAGGCACACATCATTGAGTCTACATAGACACCTCAAGCTACATTCCAAGTTCTATGGGCCCTTCAGAGTTATGCAACGAGTAGGCAAAGCTGCTTACCAGCTACTTCTACCTGAAGGCTGTCTCCTACACAACACCTTCCATGTCAGTCAGCTCAAAAAGCACATTGGCCCAAGAGTAGTTCCTTCAAAGAACTTGCCCCTGATAGATGCTGATGGAGTTGTAAAAATGGAACCTGAAGCAATATTGGACAAAAAACTAATTCCCAGACCTCAGGGCAACATCAGCATTCCAGTCGTTAGATGGTTGATCAAGTGGGTCAATATGCCTGAAGAAGCATCTACTTGGGAGGACTCGGCCTTCATACAGAAGGTTTTTCCTTCCTTTCAAGCTTGAGGACAAGCTTTGTCTTGACAGGGGGGAATTGTCAGGCCAGTCATTGCATCTTTGAAGAACTCCCATGTTTCTCCGTGTCGGAACCAAGCTCAGCCATCGATTCGCCATCCAGTGGCTCTCCAATGAAGATAACGGTTCGCCACTGGTTTGTCATCAGAGTCGCAGATGCTCCATCCAACGGCTATCATCGCCCTGAGTGTCGTTGTTCATCGCCCGACACGCCATGTGCTCTGTCTCCACTTTCTGTTCTGCTTTTCCCTCTGTAATGGCTATATAGCCACCCCTCGCTCTCAGTTTTGGGCATGATTATTGTAACTGGGTAGAAACCCTAGCCGCCGGTGGCGTGCTTTGCTACTTTCCCTTTTCTGAGCAATACAAACCCTAGCAAATCCCTCGAATTCTCTCTCTGAAATCGCAACGACGAGCGTGTAGCTAGTTCGATCCTTGTCAGGTTCCTGACAGGTTTCCTATTTACTCCCTCTGTAAACTAAGGTAAGACGTTTCAAATTGAACTGTTAAAACGTCTTATGCTAGTGTACAGAGGTTGCATTTGTTATCGGTAAAACAGTTAGGATTTTCATTTGTCGCAAGTGTACACTTCACTTCCCTAAAAGATATTCGTCATGTGCTTATTGGTTCTTCTTCAGTAGGATATGGTCGTCCCTCTGAGCCAATTATTTTGCTTCCCTATTTGCATTGCCATTGGTGGTAGTTGGGTAGGACGATATCTTGTTTTTTGTCATATATGAGCAGCTGGAAATCCTCGAAACTGTACCTGCCTGATGTGTGATGTGTCCTAGCTTCAGATTCATCAATTTAGTTTTGAAGCACTTAATATGGCTGGTATGCAATACATCAGTTTTTGTGTACTTTGAAGTTCTAAACCAATTGAGAGTTGATGTGAACTGTTAGTTCTAACCAAATTTAGTCATTTCTTTGTCATGAGATATGGTATGTTCAGCTATTGCCAATGCAAATGCCCTGTTATGTAAAGCGCGTCTCTTCTTCTGGTTGAACTGTTACGTTTTTCAGTTTCTAGTCCATCAGCAGATTCGCCAAGGGGTTTGTCAGTTTTGACTGTGCTTTGGACGTAGTGTAGCAGGTTTGTCTTGACTATGCTACAAGCACTCAAGACTTGTCTGGTTCATTTTCATAGGGTAATTCGGTTATCTTCTCCTAGTAGTTGTAGAGTTCTGCATCTCCTAGTAGAGTTCTGCATACTTGGAGGCCCCCGTAACTTTTGGCTCCATGTGTTGTGTGGTGCTGCCATGGATCTGGTCGGTGTTCAGTTTCAGAATCCTATGCCATCACATGGTCAGGAGCTCAAGTTAACTTCGAGTTCAGTTACAAAATTCGTGATGTCCGAGTCAACGATTTGCTTCCCTCGACGCTGCGAGTTATTAGTGATCATGCCCCAATGGATTCTCTTCCCTATGCTCTAGGCAGTCAACTGTGGTAGATGCTAGAGTATTGTAACTGCATTTCACATGCCAAAGTAACGAAGCTGATTTCTTTCCAGCATGTAGCCTATTAGGACAATAGGGTAAAAAGAAAATGGACATGGAACCCTGTGTGTCAATTCTTGTTCTGAATGACTGAATCTGAGAGTATTCACCATCTATTCTTCCAGTGCTCTGCTGCAAAATTTGTTTGTGCTCAAACTAGTCCTGGTTTTTCTCCCACTATTTTGACTGTATTGCTAAATTTATTGGCAATAGTCGCCCTAATATTGAAATTGTTGGGCTTGCAGCTATATGCTGAGCTATATGGAAGATTCGCAGTCAAGCTTGTTTCGATAAAAAGCTCGTGAGATTCCCTGCTGAATTCATATGTTATGCTTATTCCTTTTTAGTACGATATTGGGCAGGCCTGCAAAACTCTGGCGACAGGATGATGCTGGAGCAAGGAGCAGAGCTGCTCCAGGAGGCTTTGGCACAAACATGCTAATGGAACTTGTGAAAATGAAGGAGAAAACTCTACGACTCACTGCAGACAATGCTGCGCATGAGGGTGGAGCTGACGGTGACGAAGAAACAGGTGATGCAACAAAGGAAGCAGACATGGAAGAAGAAAGACTAGTCGAAGAATTATAAAAGAGACAGCTGGAAATTGACGAGGAGCCTTGGCCTTAGCTGGGGCAAGCAATGGATCGGTCTAAACTCAATTTCACATGCATGCACTTGGTCTACCGTAGACCTCACTTGCAAGTGACATGAGTGACTGTAGAAAGTAAGTGTACGTACTTTAGATATGCAGTAGGAGATAAAGGGGAGGTGCACACCATCGTAGCAAGAAGCATAAGGCCGTCAACGAACAGATGACAAATACATCATGATAGACTCCGCAGCAATTGAACAAGCAAATCTCCAGTATTAAATGGTTACGAACGGAGCAAAAACAACAACCCTGTCTCTGTTCTAACACTTCCCAGCAGCCTAGAAGCAAAACTCATGCTCCAAATGCTTCTGGGTTCTTATTGCCTGGCTCCCCAGCGACAGAGGAGGCCATCTGCTAAACCAACACTCATTTGTATAGCTGCTTCAGTCTTCTCGCAGCTTCGATAATGTTCTCTCTGTGGCCAAATGCACTGACCCTCACAAAGCCCTCACCGCCGGGCCCAAATCCACTGCCGGGAGTAGTGACCACGTTTGCCTTCTCAAGGATCTCGGCAAAGACATCCCAGGAATTGCGGCCAGGGAAGTGCACCCACACATAGGGGGCATTCTTGGCACCGTAGACGTTGAATCCGAGCGACTCAAACGTGTCGACAATGATTTTTGTGTTCTCCTTGTAGAATCCGACAACGTCTTGCATAGCCTGCATGGTGGACATGGGTTGAGAAGCAGCAGTGCACAAAGAAGCCATACAATAAAGATTTCAAAGCACTGAACCCCTACCTTTAGACCCTCTGGAGAGAGGCAGCCTAAACCACCGGCCTGAGAGATGGTCGATGCGCCATTGAAGGAAGTGCAGACTATGCGGTTGAAATCTTTAGCGACTGGATGCCCATCGGAGAAAAGGAGCTCCTTAGGGACCACAGTCCAACCCAGTCGGACACCAGTGAACCCAGCATATTTAGAGAAAGATGCTGTCTCGAGGGCAACCTACACATCGACAAACCATAATGATACAGGTCCAGCTTGACACATTTGATGGAAACAATTTGTTAGTAGTCCTCAGAAAACTGGACCGAACATGTTGGTAATATTCTTAAATTTTTCATAAAATGGTAAGCTAAATCTAGAAACATAGAGCCTACCTCCTTTGCCCCAGGAATTTCAAGGATGGATTTTGGGCTGTCATCTGATATGTACATGGCATAAGCAGAATCATAGACTATTATGGACCCATTGTCCTTTGCGAATTTGACCAACTGTGTTAGCTGGTCCCTAGATGCAGCAGCACCAGTAGGATTGTTGGGTGAACAAAAGAATATGATATCTGTCCGAGGGACCTTGGAAAGATCAGGGAAAAATCCATTTTCAGGACTGCATCGCATGTATTCAATATTTCCATACTTCTGAACATCCTGCTGATATAAGTCAGTTTGCCCCATGATAACACTTGAATCAACATATGCCTGTTGAAATGGATGTATCATATTAATTTTGCAACATATACAATAGTACAAAAAGTAATAATTTATCACAATAATAGGATGATAACAAAGAAAAGTAGCAATTATATCACCACAAACATCACTTAGGTTTGGGAATCACAAATACATAAGGGAAAAACAACTGAAGTTTAATATCAATTGCAAAATTTTATTACGGGATATGATGGGTCTCCTGAACTGCAATCTTCACTTTAGATCCAAAGAGAACCTGAAATTTGAAGCATAAAAGTTATGAGCGACAATGTAACATGAACAGTAGACTAAAGGGGGAGAAGAGGCATTCTGAACCTGTAGACGAGAAATGTCACATTTTGCACCATCAGAGACAAATATATCGGTTTCGTCGATACCAAGATCCTGATAGTAGGTTGCAGCAATTGCTGCCCTCAGTTTCTGTAGAAACAATTAATGCACCATTTTTAATGATGAAAACGACATTTGAGGACAGAGTATGTCAAAAAATAGCCAAACATGTAATTGAAAAGATAAACTTTAAACTCGTTGTAGACAAAATCAAGAGTCACACAAGTATTTGGATAAGCCAGTAAAAGAAAAGCAGGTATCAGCCCATTAAGAGATTATGGATCTGTCCAGACAGAAAATCTAACGCATGGAATCAGCAGTTCAAAAGCCATAACTAAATGGCCACAGCTTCAGATGTCATTAGATGTTGGTAAACCTATATGGGTTAGCATACCATCTTTCCTAGTCAAATAATCTGCGATCAGACTAAACTACTTTTACAAGCATATGTAAAAAACAGTTACACCCACTTTCTTAGCCATCTAATGATGTCTATTGATGGATTAAAAGAAAAAGGTCGCACATTAGTAAACAGAAACATATGGCATTTTAGTTTTGGCCACATGTGCAGTCTCCTCCATAAGAATATTTTTCATAAGAATATGTTACCAAGATATTATAAAATTGTGATGTTAAGAAAATATTTTTCCAGACCAATCTAATGATACCATGTTTACATAAACAATCTAAATAATTCATATGTATATTCCAAGTCAGCTTAGATAAGTTTAATTGCATTCTTCCTATGAAGTCATCCATTTAAATGGAGGTTATAGTGAAGTGAGAAGCAATATTACCTTTTCACCTTGTTCAGCTCCATAACCACTGTAGCCATCCACTGTGGATAAAGCACGTGCTCTCTGTGTTTATATGCAGACCCGTCAAAGAACAATACGGATAGCGAAAGAGGAATTATGCAACACAGAATGAAAACATGAACTTTCTTAGTCTACTCCCTGCAAAGGTGTGTACTGTGTCGAATATTTGAGTAGCCACCCTTTACCAAGGAAAAACATAAATATGAGCATGAACATTTTGCCAAGAAAACACACACCATGCATTACATCTACAAACATGTTCAAAGAAATTAGATTGTGTCTTCTTTTTTACTTCCTGAGATAAACAAGGTCTAATGTAATGCAGCTAGCAATTTCTTGTTTTTAGGAACGATGAGATACCTCTGCCATGGCATTTGTTATGACCTCCGGAATGGGCTCAGTAGTGTCACCTATTCCCAGACTTATAATTTTGGCGTCAGGATGCTTCAGCAGAAGAGCTGCCCTTCTTCTGGCAATCTGAATGGAAGTTGAGAGATTATCACTATCAAAACCCAAATCCCTAATACGACAGTATGAACAAGAACAAAATCAAAGAACAACAACGCAATGGTACCTCCGGAAACAAATAGCCTGCTTGGAGCTTGGCTATGTTGGCATTCCGCGAGACCTTTGTCGTGTAAGCTTCACCATGAAAGCATAATATTTCAGTAAACCACTACTAGGTTGAAATTTGGATGTATTTGAAGCTAAGTGTTGGAGAGAAGGAACAGTACATGTATCGGCGGTCGGAGAGCTACCGGCGCAGCGTACATTAACGGGCAGCCTTCTCGTCGTCCGGAGGTGGCTCGACTTCGATGCCCTGCAAGCACGTCAAGAGAGTGACTCGTCGAGCTACCGAAACGCGCGGTGCGGTACCGAGAGGGGAAGAAGTTGGGTACCTGAGGGAGAAGGAAGGCGACGAGAGGAAGGACCGGGGAGTGGTCGTGGTGGAGGGTGAGGCGGTAGTTGCCATCGTCGGCGGCGGCGGGCGTGGCGGCGGCGGGTAGATAGGTGGAGGGGGAATCAGTACCAGCTTAGCCCTCCCAATATCTTTGAAGGCCAGCTCCGGTCCGCTGCTCCGTGTTACCGTGAAACTTCCGCAACACTGTAGAGAGAAGACAGTTAGCTGCATATTACAACATAGATCAAGTTTATATTAAAAAAATTCAACATCACAATATCAAATAAATATTTTGCATCATATATACTTGTTATCGTGAAAGTTTATATTATTTTCTAAAAAAATTGTCAAACTTTATAAATTTTGACTTGGGTCAAAACTTATATGCAGAGTAAATAAAAGCGAAGAGAATACAAATACAAAGAAAGAAAAATAACAGAGGGGAGAAGCAGTGTTGTCGTGCACCCTCACCCCGTCAACCCAAGAGTGGAGGCATGCACGCATACCGCGCACACTGCTCCTACGCACAGAACACTCTTACAAGCTGACTCCTCCGCCGCACAGTTGAGTCCATGTGAGAGACGCTGGAGGGAGGAGAGATCTCGTGAGGAGTGGACTTACCTAATCCGGCTAACCGTTGTCGCCCTTGATGCGCCATCCTACATCGCCACTACACAGACAGGAAACGACTTCTTTTAGCATGAGAGAACGAGATGATTTTTAGTACGTACGGAGAGAAAGAGGACAGAGAGAGAGAGAGAGAGAGTGTGTGTGTGTGTGTGTGTGTGAGAGAGAGAGAGAGAGAGAGAGAGAGAGAGAGAGATGGGAGAGAAACGGATAGAGAATCAGGGAGATGGAGGTTTGGCGGGGGGAGATGTGACACTTTGTGAGTCAAAAGGGCGCCCGGACAAACAGAGCGTCGGTACCTGGGCCGACCCAACTAGAAGAAATAGCAACCAAAAAAACTTACTATATCGATCGTCCACTGTATCTAGTTGGTGTGTAATGTAGCGGCCGACCACGTCATTGTACCAGCCGGTTGTTAGTTTATTTCCAGATAGTTTTTTAAAATGTGAACTTATTTTTATGAAAGTGAATATTTTTTGACAATGGGACAAATTTTTAAAAAATCTTGAGAATTTTAAATTTTGAATTTTTTTGTTAAAACTATGAGACTTTTTTGATTTTTTTTTGAAAACATGATTTTTTAAATCCACGAACATTTTCTGAATTTTTGTTTTGAAACCTAACATTTTCTGAATTTATGAACAAATCTTTGAAATGGATTTTTCAATTTCAAACAATTTTAAAAACACAAACATTTTTTGAAATTACCAGACATTTTATGAATTTATGGAAAAAAATAAAGATAGGAACATTTTTTAATTTGGAAGAAATATTTGAAAATGAACATTTTTAATTTGCAATTTAAAATAAAAAATAAAGTTAAAATAACCCAAAGGAACCCACTAAAAGAAACCATGAAAAAGGGAAAACCAGTAAAAGACAGACCAGAACCATCTTGAAGGTTCCCAAAACCGGACAACTTAAATAGTACATTTGCTCGTTCCACTCCTGTGAGAATGCAAAAAAATGTTCACGGTGTATTTAAAGATGTTCCTCGTGTAATCCAAAAATGTTCATCATGTTTTAAAAAGTGTTCACCATGTATATAGGAAAAGTTCACGGTTTATTTAAAAATTTCATTGTGTAATCCAAATTTGTTCATCTTGTATTAAAAAGTGTTCATCGTGTATTAGAAAAGGCTCAATATGTATTTTTTTTAAATGTCATCATGTATTAAAAAATTATCGTACATAAGAGATGTCCATCATGTACTAGTATTTATTGAAAACATCTTTAGTTTTTAAAGAAAGAAATAGAGGAGGAAAAACTATTAAAAGGGAAAACAACAAACTAAATAAATAAAATAAAATAAAAATGGAAAAGAAATAAAAACAGGTTTACACCCAGACCATATTTGAATGTTTCCAAACTGTGGATGAGAGATCTACAACAGCTTATGCTAGAGTACTAAATGTCAATTATGAAATTGCAGTAGCACTTGGTAGTCAACCTGAAGATCCAATCTTTGAAGATGAACACATTTGTAATCTATTGGAACAAACAACTACCTGCCGTTGTGGGAAATTTGAGAGAATAAGGATTATGTGATTTGTGCTTTGTTTTTTTATATTTAAAATACTGCAAGAACATTTCATTTTAAGGAGACTGACTCGGGAAGCACAGTGTAGAACTAGTAAAATAGTTCTCAAAGGAAAGTTGTTGAAATCCAATGTTGGACGCCATCCTTTGCTTCAAGTTATTGTCGTACAAATTTGGGAATTTAGTTACTCAAGCAACCAAGTCTGAAAGAATAATGTATTTTAGTGGATAATGCCCTCGGTGGCCTCATTAAGGAAGTGCGTAGTAGATGAATAATCATGTGAAAGTAACCTGGTGCTGGATGTGATACCCAAGTGATAGTGGAGAAACCGGATGCAATTTTAAGTGTTGAAGGCCTTAAGAAAAAAACTCTTTGAAAAAACGTTTCAAGCAAATGTTATCTTGGATTGATATACACCACAAGAAATGGTTTAAACAAGGCAAGAAAGAACAATTATTTGTGGTTTGCTCTTTGTATACTGGGAAATAATTACTTTGATGTTAGTTGAATATAGCCTATTTTTCCTGATGCCTTGTGCTAATTTTGTTTACCAACAACAAGAAGGTGAGATCAATCAAACGAAAAAGAAAATTAAAGAACCAACTAAATTTATTTAAAAGGAAGAAAGGACAAACAGAATGACCTCTCTGGTATGTTTTTCATATAGTAAAAAAATACTATCTTGTTTGTCTAAATGTAGTACACTATTTTGATTGACCTTTTTGTTTATTTATAGCAATTTGACAATTGAGTAGCACACCAAAACTTGGTTCAATAGCTGAGAAAGATTATG